GCTGGTTTCTTCTTTAGATTGTTCTTTTTATGTACAGTGAGACAACGTATGTTGTGACTCGGCACTATATAAATAAACTGAATTGAATTCATTTCCAACCAGACTGCCCATTCTCCTCTGACCTCTAACATCAAGACATTTTCATTCATACGACTGCAGATCACTGGATATTTCCTCTTTTTTTTTAGAACATTCTTTCTGAACCTTATAGCTGATCTTAAGTTTCTAAAATACTCAGACCAGCTCGTCTGGGTYCAACAAGCTCAAAGTCATTTTAATCCCTCGTCATTTCTGTTCTGTTTGGTTGTCTTCAACACATCTAGATACTTATGTGCAGTGAATAGCTGCTATGTGATTGGTTGATGAGCTCTTTGTGTTAACAACGTGGACCTAATATAGATCTATAATGATGAGAGTATAATTTTTTTTTATAATTTTTTGTGCACATCTCTTTCCTTCTGCAGCCATCTGAATTTCACCTCTGAGGCACAGAGAAATTATTTTATTTTATTCATTGAAGCACGTGTGAAGGTTGAAATGATTTGTTTTGTTCCTCTAATGTCCATATCCATGTCTGGGGATGACAAAACAAAAGCCGTGGTGGAGCTATGATTAGAGTTTCCTGCACCCCCCTCCAGTCTGTTGTGCACCCGCTCCTCTCTCTCCTCATGAATATTAGAGATGAGTGGAGGCAGGGAGGAGGCAGGAGGCAGGGACAAAGGGAGGATAAAGCAGGAGGGATGGGGGGAGCTGATGTCGTCAGACGCCCAGCAGTGCGCAGCCTCTGTTGAAGCTCAGAGATCTATTGATCGGAAAACAACGGGCTGTGGGAGAGGAGTGTCTGTGGACTCACAGATCCAGAGCAGGACTCTCTCCACGCTGCTGTTTTTATATCTGATTTTTCTCCTTTTCTTTCTGGAATGACTGTAACTGCTGCTGCTTCTGACCGCTCTGTGCTGCGAGGAGAAACCTAGATGCTCCCAGACTGAGAAGGATCTTCCTCATCGTCCTCAGCTCGTCTACCTGCAGGTAATCAGTGTTCTTTCATCCCCCTGCCTCCCTGACCTCTGACAGCATCATCCTGCCGTCATCATCATTGTCTTGTAACCATGGTTTCTTCCATCTCTCCCTTCCTCTCTGCTCCTCTCTCCCTCCCCCACTCCTGCCTCTTTTTTTCATCTCATGGATTTGCCTCAATTTTATTTTGATGATCTTTTAAAGAGGAAACCATAGCTTTTCCTCCATCCTGAGATTTAAACACGTATTTTCCTTTTACATGGTCGTTTAGTCTTAAATTTCTGCTTCATGGAACTGAATCCGTTATTTTTCCTTTGGGCCACACAAATGCATGAACAGATATTTCCTTCTATATTGCTGCTTCTCGTTTATCTCACAGCTTTTCTGTTTCTTCATGCTGTCGATCTAAAAATATCACAACAAACAAAAAAAGAAGAAACATTGATTTGGGACTGAATGTTGAAAATGGAGGAAAAAAAATCCACAGTGTTATTAGATGTGTTTGCTGTAAAGGCTGGAGTCTAAACAGGAATAAATGATGAAGTGTTTGATTTTGTTGCATCAGTTGGAAGGTTTAGCTCCTCCACACCTGGTCAGAGCAAAGGGAAACACCTGAGACCACCACACCAACATGAGTATGTGGAAATGAAAGGCCTACGAGCCTTAAAGGAACATCACCCTCTGCTTTTCATGCTGACTTTAAAGTCAAACCTTGTAAATCTAAATGTGTTAGAGAATGACTCTCAGCTACTACCACACCACATTTTCAATCCATTTCTGGACAATTAATGGAACTGTGATCATTTCTGTACATTACTTGTGGCAGCCATCTTAAATTGGGTGATTTGAAAAGTTGCTGAGTTGTAGATAAACAATTATTTTTTAAACAATTTCATTAGAATCTGCTCAGTGGTTCATGAGATATTAAAGGGCCAATATTATGTGTTTCACAGGCATATATTTAAATACTGTACCATAATAAAGTATCTATGTCACCTTTAGTTG